GAGAGCACTTGCCTCAGAGGCCAGCCCCAGCAACTCACTGGCCTTGACCCCTCACTCTCTAACACACAGGGGCTGAACTACCGAGCAGCACACCTCCCTCACCTCCTCTTGTTGTTGTTGTTATGTGCCGTCGAGTCAGCCCTGACTCATAGCGACCCCTCCTTGGGTTTCCGAGGCAGTATCACTACGGAAGTAGGATTGCCCAACCTTCCTTCCGAGGAGTGGCTGGTGGGTTTGAACCGCCAGCCTTCTGGTTAGCAGTCAAGTGCCTTAGCCACTATGCTACCAGAGCTCCCTCACCTCAAAAATGCCTATGTAGGCCTGGACTCCTCTAAAGCACTCCTAGCCTTCCGAATCCTTGCTCTGGATTCATTTCTGGCAGATGTTTTATTTGAAAAACTCTTTTTCCCCCAAGTATAATTCCATCGCCTCTTTTCCTCCAGCAATTCAAAACCCTCCTCTCATATTTTTCTGCCTGCTCTATCCAAACGCTACACATGTGCTCTTGGATCTCTAGTCTAGATCTGTCCTGAGGGTTTTGTGGACCGAGACTAAACTCTGACCTGTTCTCCTCTTGGCCTAGTCAGAACTCTGTCTTTTATGGTTTAGCTTCTTTTTGAGTCAGGCATTACAGCGTATTTCACATACACAACACACACACACACACACGTACAATCCTGCATGGAACACTCTGGCCAAAATTTTCTTTGGCGCAAATGCAAGAGAAATTTCCATAGCTCGCCACTTTCTTAATTCTCTAGGGCCGGCCTGCTGTCTGATCAGAGAATTTCAGCTCCAAAGACCAGAAAGAAGTTTGCTGGCCCAGCTCTTGAGGTCTGGTCCATCTCCAGTACCACCATATTAAGACTCTAGTTTAAGAAATAAAATCTGCCACTCCCCCCACAACCCCTGCAGACCTGCTGTCGTAAGCAAGGGTCTGTGAGGTCTGTCAGCCAGGCTTTTTTTTTTTTAACTCCCCTTAAGCTCCAGCTCTCAGACAGAGCCTTTAGTCAGTTAACTCTCCAAGTCAGAGACCGTGTCCAAGGAACCGAACCCAGCTTTAGTCAGATCCATTTTAATGGAGACAATTCACTCTTTTCTCATGGTTTCAGATTAAGACTTACTAATAAACGGAAAATTCTATTCCTGAAGGAGAACTTGTTTTCTGTATTTCTTAGCAGACCTCATCCAAAAAAGCCTTCTATGCAGTGTGCACATGTTGATAGCAATAACCAATGACAACAAAACAGGGAGGGTATGCTAGAGACAGCAACATCTTATTTAGTGCTTTCTAAATACTAGGCACTCTTCTAAACTCTTTCTATATCCTCTAAGTATATCTAGATACACATTGTTGTTAGGTGCCAATGAGTAGTGACCCTACATACAATAGAACAAAACGCTGCACGGTCCTGTGCCATTCTCACAATTGTTGCTATGTTCCATCTTGTTGAGGGTCTTCCTCTTGTGCTAGACACTGACACCTGTATCTACATATATAGACAGATGGATAGGAAGACACACATATACATACACACATTTAACATACATACCTATGTAACCATCTAACAATGTGCAGAGGAAGGCACTCTTTCCCCATTTTACAGGTGAAAAGCTCGAGTCTCTGAGCAGTTGTAACTTGCCAGAGATCTTGGCTGATTCTGACAGGCACTATAGGATTGTGTCAGGAATGAGAACTCATCAGAATAGGATCTAGAGAGCCCTCTGACTCTGGGGAGGGGCATATATAGGAGCTGGAACACAAAAAATCAGATTTTAGAGTGGAGAGTGACCCCTGTTTAACAGTTTCCAAGAGGTGTTCCACTGAAGAACCAGTATGGAATCCTCCTGCTAGCTCAGTGCCGTGTCCAGTCCACTCACAGGACTCTTAGGGGAGAGAAAGGAACAGAAGTTAGCTCTAAGAATTTAAGGTAGGGTCTTGGAGAGCCTAGAAATGTTAGGAAACATGGACTCTGGTATAGAAATAGAAAATAACCAAGTAGAAAAAAAGTGGTAGGCCCCAAATCTCGTCACTAACCAGCCTAGGAACAATCAGGTCACTTCACCTGTTTTAGGTGTAAGTTTAAGTGCTGGTGTTTGGGCCACCGTACAGTCTTTATTTCAAGGAAATTATGCATTTTAGCAAAAAGTCCTGCAGAGAGAATTTCTCCCAAACCAATGCTATTTTTATTGACTTCCATTATAAATTATGGATTATACTTAATGCAAAAACACACTGCCATTGAGTCGGATCTGACTCATAGCGACCCCTACTTGGGTTTCCGAGGCGGTATCATTATGGAAGTAGATTGTCCAACCTTCCTTCCGAGGAGTGGCTGGTGAGTTTGAACCACCCGCCTTCTGGTTAGCCGTCAAATGCTTTAGGCACTAACCAGGCTACCAGAGCTCCTAGGATTATACTTAAGGGGTAGGATTTACTTACTGGTTGGACAATATTGGTGACCGAATGTTTAAGATAGAGACCAGTCCCCTGTCATGCTGGGTGTCAGTCTATGAATTTGGGAAACTACAGGAATGGAATGGAAGCTATGGAAACCATTTCTTTCACTGCAGAGTCATCCTAATCCCCTTCCAAAAGCAGACAGACAAAAATTGTAAGCTAGCATTCTGTATTTCCATTGGAATATTCCATGAGCTCATGGCTTTGGGCTCTATGAAAATAGTCACATACAACTTCCTAAAATGAAATACCATATATTCCACTTCATTAGCATGCAGCTGTCCTGTACATAAGCATTGCAGGACGTTTTTGCACAGCTCAAGCAAACCCTGTTGAGTATTGAAGGAACTCCCACTTATTGCCAGTCATATTAGTGCTTCTGGGCCCAGTGAAGCTTATCTTTGCCTCTAAACCTCGGATTCAAAACTGCCTTCTAATGCCTCACTCAATTTCAAGAAGAATCTTACCACCTCTGTACTAACAATGAAATGCAATTAGGGTGTTGATAGCTCAGATTTTCCTTTCAAATGTACTTCTCTTCTGTTGCATGTGGGAAGCTCTGTTCTTTTAAGAAAATCAAAATTACTTCCAAACCACCTGAATTCCTGTTGTATCATGCCAGTATGAGTGCTCAAGGACAAACCAGTACTCACACTGGAATACCCCACCTCAGACAACCACCCAACCTGCCCAAAGCCATTATCCTGCTCTTCTGGGTAAGCCTGGGACCTTACTTCAAGCCTGGTACAGTGCTATTTGTTTCATAAGGGAAGGATAACCTTCCTTTGGAAGTGTCTGTTTCCTGACAAGAATCTTGGGTGGCAAGAATTTTTCAGTTAACTGTAGGAGGTATTAGGTGGGATATAGATGTTTTGCTTTCATGTTTTTAAAGGAAGAAAAAAAAAAATTTACAATATATATCTGGGACATACATTTAGGGTGCAGGAGCAGGAAAAGCCATTTGAGATGTGGAAACCCCAGAAAACAATTTCTTTTGGGACTATTTGTAATGTCACTTATCTGCACTGTTTCCTCTGTTCCAATGAGTAAAAGGGTCAATTCCAGGACCTCATTGTGCCGTCTCTTTAAGCCTGCTGCTAAAGGAAACCAAGTACACTCCCACCCGCCCTCTTGCGTCCAGCTCTGACCTTTGTCCCAATACAAGGCCCCCTGTCAAGAATACATTGTAATGCACGTAGAGTACCAGTTTTTCTTCTAGTCCTCAGCAGGTTTGAGTCTAGTTTCCAACCACGCTAAAATTGTCCTCAGGCTGAAAAATATTTCCCTCCTGCCTAGTGATTTAAACAGGCAAGAATTAAAACAGAAAAGGAGGAGGAGGGGGTGTCTAAGCAACCAAGTCTTCCCTGGAAGAGAAGAGGAAGACGTGAGAAGTGAATAATAGGTTTATTTGCATATACACCAGAGAAGAGTTATCCGTAGCCAGGTGAGAAGAGGCAGGGCTTGTGAAGAAGTAAGGCTTCAGCAGAGGAAGGCACCTTGACATACAAACAAGACTCTCAGCTTCTCAGATCAAACACTGTTGCAATCTTCATTTGCCCCAAGTCAACATCCCATTTACCTGCTGTCCTAGAGACACTAGAATTGCTTACAAAACCAGCTAGAAAATCAAGCGGGGAGAAGAGTTTTACCTATCTGGACCAGACACAACTTAATGTACAGGATGCAGAGAAAACATAACAGGCCCTGTCAAGCAGTTCTTAATGTGCCTCCAGAGTTGGCCCTCAATCCTACAATGGCTTTGGGAAAGGAAAAGGGACCCTGGAAATGGTTCCTGCCAGGCATCCAGGACCACAGTCACAGGCATGAGATCTCTGGAAATGAGCGTGGAGTGGCTAAGACAGGCATTTCTGAGTCTGCTGCTGTGGGCCATCTCATGAGGCTTAGCTCCTGGCATGAACCTGGGATGCTGGGAAGAGTTTCTCCCAAGGATAGAAGGTCATTCTTGCTAAAAATGATCATTCTTAGATTCTAAACGTAACCAGAATGAACGCTGATTCTCTTTTGTGTACCCAAATGAGATTAAGGCTTTTAATGTGAAAAGACCAGTTCTGCATTTGGGAACTGTAACTACCAAGTAGTTAGTTCCCACAGGAACTTTAACCTACTTCTTTTTCTCCAGGAAGGTATGAGGATTGTCCTTAGAGAAGTCAGAAGAGGTTACCTATTGATTAGATTAAAATAACGATTGGGTATGCTGACTGGGAAGGGGAAGAGAAACACACACTGAGTGATTATATCTTTTTTGTATATAAAGGATTAAAAAATTCCAATTTAATAAATTTTGGAAAAGCAAATGTAAAATGACTCGGGCTTATAAAACCAGAATTTACAATTATCTGTGAATAGTCAAAGACAAATCATAGAACCATTTTGATTACAAGTCCAAAGTAATTCTAATGTTGGTTACAGAATCACTTTCCCACTCCCCGAATAAGATTACAGTTGTTAAATTGTAAGCTTCCTCACTGCTACTCACACTGCTGATAGAAAACATCTTTTTCTTCCAAGACAGTATTTTCATACCCAAGTTGCATCATACAAACCAGGCACATCTTTCCTTGTGCAAAAAGCTTAGCAGGATGTCATCACCTTTTGGCCTAGGTCAACAACCTTCCTTTCATAAATAATCCCCTACCACCAGTGCCTGTGTTCATCCAAGTCTTCAAACTCCACAGGCTGTCTCTCCCCACCCCAGTTCCAGCAGGTCAGGTCCTCCTCTAAAAGGAGGGCTGAGTCAGTGAGGCCACATCAGACATCCAGGAGGACCTCCCCGAAGCCAACTCTGGCTGGGCTACTAGTTGTCTAGCACCTTTGCACACAAGAAATCTCTTGCTCTTCTCTCTCTCTCTTCCTGATTTCTCATCAGTGTTTGTCCCGCCTTCTCAGGACGTCTAAGCCAACAAGGTATCTGGTCATTCCTAGCCCTTCCTGTCTTGCACAGCCCTTCACTGATACCCAGGTGACCATAAACACCACTGCAAATCTCTTGGTCTTCTCTCCCTCAATCATCTGCCTCAGTGCAACTGAGTCTCTCTCTTCTGGGAGCCATGAGTTTTAAAGCAAGAACTCCTCTCTCACACCCTGTGCCTCCTAGCAGTCCTATTCAATAAGAAATCTGTGACTTGGAGGTGCCCACTGCTCTGCAAAGTCTAGCCAAACACCACAGCTTCTGTCAATTGCAAGCCAGAGGGAAGATGCCAGTCCTGACAATTCTGACCAATGGCTTTGGGTTGAATTAAATGAATCTAGAACCACACTTTCCTCTTCACTACTCTTCATTAACACACCTATAAATGTTCACTTTAGTAGTTCAACACAAAGCCCTTGCAAGCTCTCTTTTCCCCTTTCAATATGCCTAGATCCATCACATGTCGCCAAGGAAGCACATGTGGCCTTTTGAGTGCCTTCAGAAACTAGTACCTAACTGGTTAAAGTGTGTTACCACAACTAGCCCTATTTTGTGGCCTCCATACAGTATATGTTGCAGCACTATTCAATTTGCAAACAGAAATTTATCAGGGATCTATGTTATTGATTTGATCTTAAGTGCTAACCTCTCATTAGCATTAAAAATACTCCATTTTTAAGTATATCCACACTAAATGCTCAAAGAAGTATTACTGAGAGAGAACATGGAAGGTTTCTTTAAAATGCGACCATGCTTTCCTCTCTAGCACAACCAATGGGCTAAAAGCCTGTTTCCATTTTCCTTACTCTTCCAGCAGAAATCCACAATTCAGTGGCAGCACAACCTAATTTAACAGGCACTCATCATTAAGACCAGAATACCTATGGGATGTAAACAGAATGAGATGGCAAAAAATACATATCCAAAGATACATTCTGATGGAGAACTAAAAGAAAAGTCTTATGAGACAGCTGGGCAAAGAGGCTGAACTCATGCGTGCCAGCGCACACATACATTAAGACTAAGTCAAACGTCTCAACGAGGAGTTACATGAACAGAACCTTGCACAGGTACACTATGTTCAAGCCTCACTAGAGGAGTCACTTGGATTTTTTTCCCTTTCTTAACACAGCATAAGCCAACAGCCAACTAAACGTTCAGACCCATTGTTAAATAGAAGGGAGCAGCATCAGACACAAAATTTCAGGCCCTGGTTTTGATGTGCCTTTAATACTTTTTTCTCCTTTCCTCTGTGTTTACTAACAGGGTTTTTTTGTTTGTTTGTTTTGTTTTTGTTTTTTGGTAAAGCTACTTTTCATAGCCTTTGCCCCTCCCCTTTGATTAATCATGTCTTTAATTTCTTTTCTGAGGGAGAATTCTCTGGATCTCCATCTTCCAATTCTACTCGGTGCCTTTTGAGGCCACTGTGGCCATGAACACCCCTGCTGCTGTTGTCTGTGGCTGGGGGATCAGTCGGGTCCTCTCTCGTTCCAGCACTGGGGGTCTCACAGACCATTTCAGACCCACAACAATCTCTGTGTAGGAGTGGCCCTGGCAGGGACAAGTTATCGTGGTCAGTGTCTGAACGTCCTGGAGAAGAGTAAGTGACCATCTCCAGTTCCCCAAAATTCTGCCCATTGTTGTGGAGGTGAGGAGGGCGGGGGTGTAACCGTCCATTGTTGTGGTTGGCACAGATGGTTTCAAGGCTCCTCTCCTCACTGTCGTCGGACAGGGTCCTGGGACAGTTGCCAGATGCATTGCTGGGAGTGGAGCCAGATGACTTGGGGACAGGAGGAGAGGGCGGCTCCTCAGCCCGGCTGCTCAGGGCCTTGCTCAAGGCTTTTCCATTGAGCTTCTTGGTTTCAAAAGAGTGTTCTACAGAGCCACCATTGTCAGTGTCCTGAGAGGTGCCCTCTGGTGCCTCTGCCCAAGTGTGGCTGCTATGCTCATGGCTGGAGCCACTGCTGGGGTTTCTAGTAGAAGCCCCTTCTTTAAAAGTATCCTTGCTGCGGCCTTCCGGCGGCAGATCCTGGTTTCTCTGGGCTATGGCTGTGTTTAGACAGATTTCCTTACTGGAAGAAGGGGTTGGGTTGTCCTTGCGGCTGGTTCCTGCTCTCCCATCATCTGGTTCCCCAATAACCTGGGAGGTCTCTCCGTCTTTGTTATTTGAGTAGGAGATATAGGAGTAGCGGAGCCACTTATAAGCTTTATAAATCTTTCGCTCGACTGATTCTATGTCTGAGGTTGGAGAGGCCCGGCTTGGGTGAATCTCCAAAGTGGAAGTGCTACGCTCAGGGGAGGAGGCAGGGGAGGAGGAGAGGTCGTCTACTTTGATCTGAGGGTAATCGTAGTTGTCTTCTCCAATGTAGGCGTTGGTGGGCTTGGCTGGGGCACTGGGCCTCTCTTCTCGGGGTGTTTTCTGCCGACGCCGCATGGCATTTCGCTGCCGGGTGGAGGATCGGCGTTCGTTCAGCTCCTCCTCCTCCTCGTCCTCAGAGCTGCTGGAACTGCTGGAGCTGCTGGACTCGTCTTCAGGGCTGGGTGATCTCGGCCGAGGGAAGAGATCTGTGTCCAGTTCAACCTCACAGGCATTCTCTTCAGAGTCAGACTCGTTGGAAAGGGCCAAGAGGCGCTTGTCTTGGTATCGTCGCAGAGCAGATAAGCGCTGCTGGCGAGAGATGGCATCCTCGCACGAAGGTGGTGGTGGAGTTGATGTCACTGTGTTTGTGGTGGTGACCCGCAGGGGCCCCAGGTGGAAGGCATTGTCGGCAGACTCATCCACCGTGGGGGGCGGGGAGCGAGGCAGTGAGGCCGAAGACTCTGAGTCCGTGTAGCCTGAGCGCTCGCTGACTCCAGCATGTAGCTGGAGGATAGTGCTCTCGCTGAGGTCACTGTCCGAGTCGGAACTCCAGCCCTCGATCTCGCGGCGTACCAGGGAGTCAAAGAAGGCCATCATCCGGGGGTCCTCCTGGACTGACTGGTTGGCATAATCATGTGACAGGCCACTGCCGCTGTTTAGCACAAGACTGATATACTCTTCGTGGGTATAGAGGCAGCGAGAATCATCCTCAATACGGCCATCAAGGTCTCCAGTACATCCTGGCTGCTTGTATGGGCTCCAGATCTATACAGGAGAAAAAAAAAAAAGCAACCAGGAACTGATTGGAAAGTTTTACAAAGCTGGTGGTGATAAACAACACACGGCAGAGCCTCCCCAGATCCTCCCTGTCATTTGGCCAGGACTTGCTAATTACCTTCAAAACCTTTAGGCTTTAAACCAGTTCAGTCGTGGCCAACACAGCAAAATTGGAACAGGTCCAAATTTTTGAAATTTAGGTGAAATGAAACAGTAAGTGGAATGGGAAAAGTTACAGGTGGAAGCCCTGGAAAGGAAGACTTGGAAAAGGCACAGTGATCTCTTTCTGATGCGGAAGACTGAATTATTGCCAGAACTGTGAAGTGCAAATTGGTTGGCCATCAAAGTGGGATACTGCTGTTTCTGACTCTGCCAGTCAAGAGATTTGGTTACTATGCAATGAGCACACTGCCCTTCTTTATTAAGAAGGAGATTAAGTTTCTAGCAGAGCGTTGACCTTAATTTTTCCCATTCTGGTTAATATTCCAGTACATTCACATTTTACAAATTCAGGTCTGTTCTGAGGCCCAGTGCCCCATGGCTTTGTCAGCCATGATTGAAGCAGGAGGAGCTAGTTCAAAGTTCTACTTTATAAATACATCCTTCACAATCTGAAGTATGTGGGCTTCACATGAAAACTGAGGAAAGTAAGATGTGGGAAAAAGCATTATCTAGGGCATAACATTGGCTAAATGGCAGGGATCTAAGTCTTGTCTCTAGGCCCAGAATAATCACACATTATATCCCTACTCACCTAATCTCCCTCTCCTTCAGTTTCTGCTACTTGTAGCTTGAAAATTACAATACTCCTCTACACAATCTCAGAGGATTTAGGATGACTTGAAAATTGGTCAATGTGTTCAAAATTCTCAGAAGACTGAAGCTGTGCACAGAGAGGTGCCACTTTTTCAAAGTCAAACAGAACCAGCAGTCAGTTCTCTGTGACAGTTAATATTTCAGCTTATAGCTTCACTTTTCCCCAACAGTGACATTTCTATTTTTAACTAATGGGAGTTGCTTACTGGAGCCTGGTAAGAATAGCCAACTGCCTACACTGCAGTTCCCTCTTGGATGTGTAGGCATCAGTTACCCAGGAAACTGGATTCTCTTAACTAGGTAACTGCAGGCTTGCTCCCCAACTCTTCTGTTAGCTGTAGTTGAATAGGTAGGACACCATCCCCTATGAAGAGGTGACTGTAGCCCCACCTCTTATCCCCCTCAACCCCTTGGTCAGGGACATAAGCTCATAGCCAAAAAGTGGCAAAACTAAGATTCAAACTCAGGCTGTCTAAATGCATAAAGGCAAAGTTTTTTTTTTTTTAGTTTCTTTCTGAAGTAGGTAATATTTGAGAAAGATCCAAGTCTTTCAAATTCCAGCACAGGTCTCCATCCAACTAGGCCAAACTTAACTTTTAGGGGAAGGGGATACCAGAAAATACTTTACAAGTAGAATAAGTTATGCAAAAATCAAGTTCAGAGTAATTAAGCTGTCAGTGCAAATGAGAACGATTAGCTTCACCTGACTGCCAGACTGGGCCACAGAGCAGCACGGAAAAGCTCAGCTACATCACCCTGTAGCCATGGCAACTCAGATGAAATTCCAAGCGACTTTCTTCTCTGACAGGCTGGTGTCTATCTTTAGATGGCACCCAACCTAGAAAACAGTGGCCCCTCATTCCCTATCCTCCATCAAGACAATGGCTTGTTTTCCAAAAGCTATGTAAGGGCAAATTCCCTTCCATGTGAGAACTTTGCTGAGACCTGTTCCAGTTCCCCAGTTCCAGCTGTGCTTTACTTGGCAACTCCTAGGGAGACACTGTCTCCTTGGAGGACCTTCAGTTGAAGAGTGGCAGAAGAAACTCTGTAGATTTGCTTCTCATCACCAATTCCAAGCTCAAACTCGTTCCTCCCTCCACTGCCCAGTTCCCCAGGTGTGTGCCCTCTCTAGCTTCATGATCTCACCCAGGGGATTTACAAAGCAGTGGTTTTCAAACTTTGGAGTTCGTAAGAATCACCTGAAGTACATCATTACAATGCTGACTTCTGAGCCCCATTTTTAGAGATTATAATTTAGTAAGTTATGGGTAGGTACCAAGACCCTATATTTTTAATAAGCACCCAAGGGGTGGATAAATGGATGGGCCAACTTTTCAGAAACACTGGGATATAAAATCCCTTGCTCTCAAGTTGATTCTGACTTACAATGACCCTATAGGACAGAAGACAACTTCACTATAGGGTTTCCTAGGCTGTAATCCTTATGGGAGCAGATCGCCGGGTCTTTTCTGTCATAGAGCGACTGGTGGGATGAAATTGCTGACCTTCTTGGTTAACAGCTGAGCGCTTAACCAGTGTACCACAGGTCTCCCTTAAACTCATTGTGTTGTTGTTATATGCCGTCAAGTTGGACCCAACTCATAGCAACCCCTCCTTGGGTTTCTGAGGCAGTATCACTACAGAAGTAGATTGCCCAACTTTCCTTGTGAGAAGTGGCTGGTGGGTTTGAACTGCCAGCCTTCTGGTTAGCAGTTAAGTGCCTTAGGCACTATGTTATCAGAACTCCTCTTAAACTCATAGCAACCCTATATGACAGAGGATAGTGACCCTGTAGGACAGAGTAGAACTGTCTTGTAGGGTTTCCAAGGCTGTAATCTTCATGGAAGCAGACTGCTACATCTTCCTCCCATGAGCGACTGGTGAGTTCAAACCACTGACCTTTAGGTTGGCAGCTGAGTGCTTAACCACTGTGCCACCATGGCACCTTTAGGATATAATTAGCATAAAATAAATAGACAAATAAAGGTTCTGTCTGAAGAGATTCTCAAATTCCTTGTGAGACTAAATGTTTGGGAAACCTTTAGTCCCATAAAAGGGAGGAAGACACAAAAGTGAGAGGACTTTCTTAACCCATAACTTCCCAAAAGACATGGCTTCCAGCACCAGGCTCAAGCTGTCAATAACACTCTCTACAAATAGATATCTGATTCAGAAGTGAGAGATGGTCAAACAATTCCTTGTTACATCTTAAATATGGCTAGATGTCTCCTGATGGGCATGGTTCATGAGAAAAAGGAGGAGGGAAAAGCAGCTCTCTCTCCAAGTCCAGAGAAAAGTTTAGCTCTAGAGAATTTGGAAGCTGAGGAGTCCAAAAGGGCAAAACCCTTAGAATGCTCTCTGTGTCTCATTCTTAATTCTGGACCAATTCTCTCACCTCTCCAGTTTAAAAATGGGAAAATGTTATGAAGCATGTTTTCTAAAGAAAGAAAAATCTATTTATACTTCATAGAAACGCAGAAGTTGTTAACAGAAATTCAAAATATTAATGGTGAGAAGCTGGCCTAACTATTCAGTAAGCCAGTTTCAAGGTTCAAATAATCTATTACTACCCAGCCACCCATGTTTTCACTTTAGAAATGAAAATCATAACACTGAATGTAAGCTTTTATTTGGGCTCTGGAATGTATTAAGCTGAAGTAGACTGTTCATTCCTGAAGCATGAAGTAATGGAACAAAACACTGTACCAGGAGGCAGGAAACTTGACTGTCTGTTCCCAGTCAGCTCTAACTAGCTGGTAACCAGGAGAGAAGCAGATCCCTCATCTAAAAAGTAATGACACAGTCTCAACCAAGCCTAAGATTCAGGGCAAAACAAAACCTCTCTCCCAGTCAGTCAGTGTTCAGTCCTCAAGGAACTTCAATCTACAGTTTGGAGCTGTGGGACCAGAAGAGCAAGTAGGAGCCCCAGCTCCACCACTTCACGTGGCCCCAGGCAAATGATGTCGCCTTTTAAAGCCACTGTTTCTCATCTGTAGAAGTGAAAATGATTAAATGACATAACCTGTACCAAAGCACCAATAAATGTGTTTTTTTTCCCCTTTCTTTTTCATTTAGCAGCTGAGTGCTACAACCAGAAAGTCTTAGACCTCTTGTAAGACAGAGATTTGAATCTCAGAGTACTAACTTTCCCTATATGATGGCCCTCATCTTTAAAATACCAATTTCAAACATTTGTGAAATTGCTGATTTCCCTACACCAAGTCAACAATTCAGAAGTGAGAGATGGTCAAACAATTCCTTGTTACATCTTAAATATGGCTAGATGTCTCCTGATGGGCATGGTTCATGAGAAAAAGGAGGAGGGAAAAGCAGCTCTCTCTCCAAGTCCAGAGAAAAGTTTAGCTCTAGAGGATGCTGAGGAAAATGATACAGTTGAATTCTTAATCAAACATCATTAAAATGGAAAGGAATTAGGTAACAAGTATTGTGATCTATACAAGTAACCATCACATACTTTACGCAGCAGCTCTAAACTCTCCTCTCTCCATGCACTACTGCACTGAACTTGAAACTTGTACACCCAATGTCACAAAATATGTAGGAATTGTTGAATGGAAAACCAATTTCCTCTGTTAATTTTCATCCAAATCACCATTTAAAAAAGAAATTTGTCCCTCTATTGAGGAAAACTACATAAAGTCCTAAGTTGCTGTTCAGGGGCTCTTCACTATCTAATGTGGCTTCCAAGACCCTCTGGGCCCGTCTGGGGTCAACCTTCCTGGTCTGTCTTCAGTCGCTCCCCTTCATGTGATCAATTTCTGAATGGGTCCTGTACTTTCCTGCTTCTGACCATGTGGTCATAAGCCCAATGCCTGACACAGTTATGTGGTCAATAAATAGTTACTGATCCAATGAAATAAATATCCATTCTTTCTATTTGAAATGTCCTTCCTACCTTATTTGTTCCTTTTGAAGTCTTACGTATTCTTCAAAATCTAGCTCAAATATTACCTACACAGAGAGATTACTTCCTATGGGAACAGATCTCTCCCTCCTCTAACCTCCCGAACACTTTGTTCGTCTCTTGTGCACACTTCTTTATTATCTTTATTTATTTAGTGTTATTATCTTTATTTCTTTACTTTCCCTCTAGGTCATCGATTCCTAGGAAGACCTTTGTTCCCTTTACCTTTGTCCCACAGGGGGAGCACAGATGGGACAAGGTAGTGTATCACAAGTATGTAGTGAATAAATTAATAGTGGTCTTTGGGAAAAATGTCAGAATTTGCTCCATCTTGTCCCCCTGTCATTTGATTAACTACAAAATGAACCCCCTTTTTTTGTAAATGTGGGCATTCAGAGGGACAAAAGTCCTGATATGAGTGAGAAGTAAGAGGCAAGCTCTGACAGCAGGCACCCTTCTCCTCTGGACTAGAAGAAAGGTGGCAGTAAAGGATAAGGACATGGGGAAGGTGGAGTGAAGTAGGACAGCCTTGGGCTGGACTAGAACAAGGAGGTAAGTGGCTCTTTGACCCACTGAGTCCCTCAGAAATAACAAATAGAAAAGTGACATTGATTACAATAGTCAGAAATTCTTAGGCACAGGTAATTCACATGGCACTCCTGGGTGCCAAGTTGACTGTTAGCCACCTCACATTACATATGGGAACGAGCCCCAGAATGCTTCTGAATCTCAATGGCCTTTCTGTACGATGTGAGTGCAGACAAGGGCAATAATTCCAGTAGACAGATGAGGCCAGCGTTTCACTTGGCCTCATCCTTCTCCTTCCCACATTGCTTTAGATTTAGGCCATTCCCAACCAGATGGCACCTGAGAAAGCAAAGCTGAGACTCCAGAGCTTTTTGCTTTGCCTCTCATTATGGTCATCTGTGCTGACTTCTTAAGGGTTCATATGGTATGGTAATTCAGTTTGTGTGTCAACTTGGCTGGGCCTGGTTGAGTGGCTAGGCAGCTGGATGTAGTATTCCCCATGATGAGACTGGTAATCAACTCCATGGTGGAATCTACTGTGAGCAGCTGAGTAGCTGCTTTAGGAATGTGGTCTGCTTTCTGTATATAAGGAGAAGCCTTGGGAACGGTCTCTAGCTTATGGGACGTTTGAACCCTGTGTGTAGCCTTGTTGTTGGTCAGCAGCCTGACATGCTCTGCCGACCTTGGGACTTTCAACGGACTTGAATTAATGGCTTGCTGTGTGGTTTGGTAACATTGGAATTGTGCCTTTTTACTTGTCAACCTTGGGTTTGTCAGCCTCAGCAGCCAGCAGCTGAGTGAAGAAAAGCCTTTAGCTTCAGTGGGCTGGGAGCAGGAGGCAGAGCTAGATCCCAAGGTTGAGGGGCTTTCACACAACCCCTAGAGCCTGCCACTTTGAACTTGGACTTAAAGCCTCCAAATTGTAAGAATAAACTCGATTGTTAAAGCCATCCCATTTGTGGCATATTCCTGCCAGAGAGGCACTAGGTAACCAAAACAAATGGCTAACCTTGCCTCCTAGTGGGGCAGGGTTCAGATTCATGGGAATTTGAGAGCAGTGAGCTACCTAATTCAGTCTGAATAACCTCACAGAGAAAACATTTTCTTCTCGTTCTCCTCTGAGAACTGGGCTAGCTTCCAATGTATGACCTTAAGGGTAAGGACTTTGGTTGACTAAACAGTAATTGGGGAAACTTAGCACAGAGTATCCCAGAGTGCACAGCCAGAGAGGAATTCCTAGTAAAGGAGATGACCAAACCTAGAGCTCTGAGAAAAAGAATATCATCAACAGTCCTAGAGAAGACCCATTACAGCGACTACTCAATGCAGGCCAAAAGAGGGAGAAAAGCAATTGAAAGGGACAAGGCCCTTTCAATGACTGTCTAAGCAAAGAAGGACCAAGATTATCAAACACGCATCAGGGGGCCATCAGGTGGTTCACTGCCTTCCCTCTATGTGGTCAATGTGGCACTTTACTGGGAAGAATAAAGGACAGGCTTCTATTCTGGCTTTGCCATGAATGAGCTGTGTGACTATGGATGGTAAAGAAAAAGTCAGCATAAATGATCTACAAGTCCCATTGCAGCCCTATGAGGACATGTGTAGAGCCACAGAAATCATCTCTGACCCACAGGACCAATACAGCCTCAATAAAATTGGACTAAGGGCTGGGAGCTCTGGTGGCGTAGTGCCTAAGGCATTTGACTGCTAACCAGAAGGCTGGCGGTTCAAACCCACCAGCCACTCCTCAGAAGGAATATGGGGCAATCTACTTCCATAGTGATACTGCCTCGGAAACCCAAGGAGGGGTCGCTATGAGTCGGGTCAATGGCACACAACAACAACAACAAGGGCTAATAAAAATATTGACCCACTCTCCAATATAAGATCTCTGATAGCTGTCCTCTGACATCAAATACAACTTGGCTTTACTCTGGATATTTAAAAGCAACAACAAAAGACAATGAAAACTACCACATCATCAACAAACATGATACCTCTCAGGTTTTCAATGTCACTTCAGAAAAAGAAAATAATAATAATTAAGGCTTTTAAACTCTTTGGGGAATGTTAACGTCCTTTACTTAAAAGGCAAGTTATCATGGATCCTCTAGAATTCATCATTTGTCCTGAACCCTCATTTGTTCCCCCTCGGATGTGGAAAAAGATCCAAGGGTTACTGGCAACTGGAACCAGAGTGATAGGCAGTAGGCCATCCTTTCATGGACAAAGGCCAGGCTGGGGCCCTCAGTTGCAGACTATAAAAATATTCCTTGGCAGAGTGAGCTCATTCAGGTGGTATGTAATTGATGCAAGTGTTTAGGATTCATACCCAAGTAGCCTCAATCATAAATAACCACATGCAGTGGTTTTTATGAGACAATCTAACCCTGGTTCTAGGAATCACTCAGTTACATCTGTGCCATATTAGGACAGCAATTAATGCAAAGTGCACACTGAAAAACTGAGGGGACAGTGGTCCCCTAATCTCCAGAGAAAGTTCAGAAAGCAGAATTCATCAGATCAAAGGCCATCAGAAATGTAGGGGCATACAAGGTATTGTCTAAAAGACACTTTGTTTCAAGTCCAGTCACTATTTAAAGAAAACAGCCAAAAAACCAAAGACATATGGAATCAATTAGTTCAAGGGACTGGCAGACCATGCGATCCTCAGCCTATATGACCAAGAGACCAGAAGAACTAGATGGTACCTGGCTACCACTGTCAACCACTCAGAGGGGGATTGGTGCAGGAGATCCTGGATAGAGAAGGAGAACAATGATAAAACCCCAAATCATAAAAAAAAGACAAGGTTTTCTGGTCTGATAGAGCCTGGTGAGACCCCTGAGATTATGGCCCCTAGCTACCCTTCAGGTCTGGAACTGAACCCACTCCTGTGGCTTCCAGCCAAACAACAGACAGGCCTATGGGGTGAACACTTACATCAGGTAGATATACTACTTGGAGTGATCAATCATGGGAGAACAGAAGGGCAATGTCCGCACAGGGAGATAGCTCAGGGGGTGGGAGTGCATGGGAGGGAAGGACACAGGGAAGAAGGAACTATAGGGAGCAAGTGGGAAGAGAGATGTCACATTGTGGGGAATTGCAGTCAGTGTCATGAGACAAAATGTATATGAACTGCTGTGTGGAAAATGAATTTGTTCTATAACTTTCATCCAAATGACAATAAAAATTAAAATAATAAATAAATGGTCCTGAAAGAAGAGTTAAATCACTCTTTTTTATCATCAACTTTCCTGTATTTTGTAATATGTCAAAATCATTGAGAATCTTGATAGATGTTAGTATGTCTAGATAGGAGGTCCTACATAGATATTGTTCTAAAGACTTCCAATCACGAATTATAAAAATTTCCCTTAAAGGATAGAAGGGGAAGGCGCCTCACCTTGATAATCTTTTCTACACCAGAAGAGCAGATCATGTACGTGTGGGGATTAAACCGAACCTGGTTAACAATAGATCGATGCCCTTTCAGTACCATGAAGGCTCCGTTGACCACCCTACCAATGCCACCTGTGGAGACAGAGGAAACAAAAACCAAGCAATGAAATGGATGACTGTAAATAGGTTACAAAAATGGCTAATAAACAGCTCTGAAGGGAGCTGAGATTTATTAACTATATCACCAGCAGAACATATATATAAGGTTGCTATGGAGAGAGTGAAGATAAAACCCCTCTCAGCATATGTGCTCTTCCCAAAAGCCTTTAGTTAGCCTTTAAGCATTGCCCACACCCACCCACTGCAATTCCATTATTAATGAAGCCAAAGCCACTTAACAACATTTCTCCAGTTTTTGATTACCAAGATAGAATCCAAGTGTTACCTGAGAAAAAGCTAGTTCAGAACTAGCTTAGGAATAGTTAGGCAGCTGAGCCAGGGACATGTGGATTCATAAGCATACAATTACAAACATACCTCATTTTACTGTGCTTTGCAGATACTGCATTTTTTTTTTTTTTTACAAATTGAAGGTTTGTGGCAACCCTGCACTGAGCAAATCTATCAGTGCCATTTTTCCCACAGTACATGCTCACTTCGTGTCTGTGTGTCATATTTTGTTAATTCTCACAACATTTCAAACTTTTTCACAATGCCATTGCACACTTAATAGACTACATTATAGAGTATAGTGTAACTATCTTTCTTTCTTTTTTTTTTTTATTAGGATTTGGGTGAAGATTTACAGAGTAAATTCACTTTTCATACAGCAGTTCACATATACTTTGTCTCATG